CTTATTTCACTCGATAGAACATTTTCAAGGTTCATCTATGTTGTGCCATATATTAGGACTCCATTTTTCTTTAGAGCTGAGTAGTAGTCCACTGTATGTACGTACCAAATATTAGTCAATTCATCTGTTGATAGCCATTTAGTTTGTTTCTACCTTTTGACCATTGTGGCTAATGCTGCTGTGAACTTTGATGTAGAGATATCTATCTGCTTTCAAGTCTCTTGGCTATATTCCTAGGAATAGAATTGCTAGGTCATATTTTAGTACCATGTTTAACTTTTCAAGGTAGCACACGATTTTCCACAGCAACATTTATATTCCTACCAGCAGTAGATAAGGATTCCTGTTTCTCTACAAACTTGCCAAAATTTGTTTATATTTGTTCGTTTGAAAATTAGCCATCCTAGTAGGGATAAACTGATTATCTCATTGTGATTTTGGTTTATATCTGTTGTGTGGGCCTAGCCTTTCAGAGAAAAAGCTTCATGGTACTAGTCGATGACTCACTTTTTAAAAAAATCATTTTATTGGAGCTCATACAATTCATCACAGTCCATATGTACATCAATTGTGTAAAGGACACTTATACATTTGTTGCCCGCATCAGTCTCAAAATTCGCTTTCCTCTTGGGTTCCTGGAATCAGCTCCTCATTTGGATGGCTCACTTTTGAAGGAGTACAGAGGCCATATTTTATCTCACTTGTGCCAATGGCACAGGTACTATATTCTCAGGATGTGTGTATGGAATGAAAGGACCTTGCTGCCATGTACCAGCCCATTGAGAACTAGCCACTTCTGCCAGTTGGCAGGAGACAGAATGGTACCATCAGAATGAATCAGAGAAGCATCATTAGGGATCATGGATTCTTGTGTGATAAACAAAAAATAAATGGTGTGCTCATCAGGTCTCCCTTTCAAAAGTTGAACTGTTGGAAAATAATCCAAATTTGGCTTTCTGGACTATATTTAAGAACCAGGCTCACTCTCTCTCACTCACTCACTCTCACTCACTGACTCATTCACTCACTCACTCTCTCACTTTAATTCACTCACTCTCATTCACTCACTCATTCTCTCACTCTCTCACTCACTCACTGACTCACTCACTCTCACTCTCTTACTCACTCACTCACTCACTCTCTCACTGATTCACTCTCACTCACTCACTCACTGACTCACTCTCTCACTCATAAAAAAAAGAAAGGAAAAAAAGAACCAGAATTGCACTTGGCTAAGAAGAATATTCTTTATTGAACATGAGGAAGAGGGTAACTGATTAGCCAGATCTAGAAGGATTTAAAAGGCACAGTAAAAGGGCACAGAGAGGGTGTCCTGATAATCCCAAGTACTCTGAAGATCATATAATACAGAAAAAGTAATTTGGAGAATGGTAAGGTTAATGACTCAAATGAGAAAATCATTGTGAGGGCCGTTGAAAATGGTGCTTGCAGACTCTGGGCACAGTAAACTAAACGAACTCCTACACTATCCATGGTAATCTTTGTTCCTTCGTGGGATCCTTCTTCATTCTCAAGTGGCAGTCTTGTGTATAGAAAATCATGAAACCCACTCTCTGTGTTACTCTGAGAATCAAGTGAAATAATGTATGTGAAAGGGTTTTGTAACTTGGGAGATGATATGCTTATGTTGGTCTGAATGGTGATTTAGTAAGAGTAGGAGAGACAGATGAACATTCTCAACATTGGCATAGCTAGGCTGACAAGTCACTGTTCAAATAGTACCCTCTTAATAAGGCCCGTGCAGGCCTTCTGATTTCTGAAGCACTTACTACTACCACATGCTCTCCGATTTGCTTATTTTGTTTCTGTTTGTCTCTTCTGTTGAACTCTTAACTCATGAGAACAGTGATGTTCTGTTCATTGAGATAGGCCACACACCTAAAATAGAGCCTGATCTGGCCCTGTCACCATCGAGTCAGTGAAGAGGTTAAACTTTCATGGAGAAGGCAGGCTCAGCAGTGGCAGCGGCAGCTGAGGCACAGCAAAATGGGAACTGAAGGCTCTCCACTAAATGCTGGTCCAGTGTAGGCCCCGTCTCTTTGTCAAGGTGCCCAGGAGAGAAGTCTGCACTCTTGTGCATTCTGGGGAAACAGTGAGCTGCAGGCTCCTGCTCAGTCAGCCTGGGAATGTCTCAGCATCTGTGCCGGGTGCACCAAGGCTGCCATTCACCAAGCTGATGATGTTACCTTGCAAGTGCCGAGCTTGGTGGAACAGTGAGAGCCAGCAGCCCAGCCAAGCCTCGGGTCTGTGTAGGCTCTGGAAAACACTCTTTTACAAGTTAATGCATTAAAATGCCATTGTTTCAATTATTTAAGCAGTTAGCTAAGAGGTTTAAGACTCTTCTTTTTAGCTAGAAATTATTCTCTTTAGTCTATCCCAGTAGTATCTTTGAACACCTGCTTTATAGAGAGAACACTGGAATCATTTGCAGTTGTAAAGACTACTGGGAGTTATTCTCTCAAAATCCTTTTTTTTTTTTTAAGTTGATGGCTTGAGATTGATCATTTTGGAGATTTTTTTGGTGCTTAAATATATGGTAAGACCTGCAAAAGCTGGAACTTGTGTTAAGGTAGAAGCCTGTCAGAGAAGGAACCCTTAAATATATTTCACTAACTGAGAGCAATAGAAAAGTGGTAAGACTGTACCTGTCAACCCCAAAATACTTGAGAGACCTAGAAACACAAGGCAGTCCCATTGTTCCACTTCTCGCAGTTCTGCTTTAATTGAATAAATCCAGAGTTGCCTCAAAAAGTTGTGGAAACACGAGCCTGTGCGAACACGAGGTGTTGGGGGGAACAGGCAGCAGACACCAAAGAACAAAAACCATCATTGTGTGACTACCTACCCCACATAAACGCTGAAGATGAATGTGTGCATAAGTAAGTGTGGTGAAGAAGGCTGATGGTGCCCGGCTATCGAGACCTAT